GAATGTCATGCAACCACACATGGTGGAATTTTGACGAAGTATGCGATCTTTACATTTTGGGCAAAATGCATGAGGACGTGTTTTCGTAAACTCGTAATAGGCGTTTTTATAGACTGGAGCCTGACACATGCACCTTCCGATGGCACAGTTCCTACTAACTTCAACATATGAAAGCAAGCGGGCAAGTTTTCTGACAGATACGCGAGAAGTGCAGGCAAAGTTACGCACTTTCGTGACTCAGTTACGGTGACATATCTCTGCAATCCCCCCCCCCTATATTCCTCAAAGACCAGGATTTTCGAAAGTGCGCGTTCGAATACCCCAGGTGGAGGAACGAAGACCTCAATTAGGCACCGCCTCCGCGGACCACTGGTCCCAACACGATGCACAACGGTAGGACGAAAGGACCAGCAGCCCGCGGCAAAGGTGCCGAATTGAGGTGTTCGTTCCTCTACCCAATACCTCTATAAGCGAAGTTTCTTTACAATTCAAGATCATCAACATTCTAACCAACCATCGGCGAGCTTCAGAGCGTGAAACGAGACAAACGAAATAACCCGAACATCTCGGAAAACTTGCTTGTAGAGGTCATTCAACCTGCTGATTACAAAAATCACATCTGCTTAGCAAGAGAGCTTCATATTTTAGGGTTATGGTCAGAAAAATTTGGAATGACATGATTTCTCCAGGATTTACTAGCTCGTCTAATTCCTTTGGAAAGAAGATGAGCTTAATGCTTTTTTCAGATTAAGAAAATTTTAACTCTAAAGGAAGTTACGGCGAGTAGAACTTGGAAACGCGTGATTTTTCCAGAATTCATCAACGCTCATCTCTCTTTTGGAAAGAAATCTGCAACTACATCGAGTAGATTTAGCGGTAAATATAGTGTGCTTGCACAGAAGGTGAAATGCGGTGAAATTTGCGCGTGAACAAGTAGCCACGTCAGTAGCGCGGGTATCGTGCACGCGCAATTGGCCGGCGTCACAGTCGAAACTATTTCTTCACGCGCCAATTTTACCGCATTTCACCTTCTGTGCAAGCACACTATATTTACCGCTAAATCTACTCGACTGTACCTTCTAGCGCACTATAATCTGCAAGAACAGCACTGTCGAAAATTGCTTACTGGTATGTTTTATGCTGGATAGGCGCTGCGCTACAATCTTGCGAAAGCACCTCCGCAGAAAAATTTGAGAGAACTGGAAACGAGATATAGAAGACATGATGCACATCGAAAGATTTGTCTTGACGAGCTGAACGGAGCGCTACTTTCGGATTCAAAATATATTCATTCCGAAAGAAGTTTTGGCGCTGCGTAATTTGCGATATTCCGGGATTATCGCGAAATTCCCGGGATGTCGCGGAATTCCAAGAATGTCGTGTATTTTCGCAGAATACCCGGAATTCTGCAAAACTCACGGAAATTTTGCATATTCTGTGAATGATATTGTACGTATTTTCTGGTTGGGTTCATACTGGACCCTAAGTTCCGGAACAGTTTTAGCCAGCGTGATATGGCCTGGCACTTGCACGAGGCTGCACGTCAGGAGGTACGCCGCGCGCGGCGGCCGCTTCGCCGCGCACTCTGCGTCCCGATCTTGGGACCCATAGAGCTCCCCATGTCAGAGACTCCCGGCGGCAAAAACACGGGGGTGGGGGTGGAGGCAGATAAGTGACTCAATGCCATAAGTAATATTGCGCCTGGAATTCTGCTGTTGTATTGGTTGAACTACATTGCGGCGTCGCTTCACGAAAAATTCGCGCCGATCGTGGACCCTGCCTTTAAACAATGACTTTCTTAGAGCCTCTCAATAATTCCCACATTTAGACCAAATGTACAATGGTTGGACCTTGCTATAGCCTTCAAAACGGCCTTGACTTCTTGCAAAAGATATATGCGAAATGAACACATTAGAATGAGCGTTTCATGCACTTTTTCAACCAAGAACGCACAATTACTAAGTATTCTTATCGTGTTATACATTTCCAGCACCTTCTACCGTAATCGAGCACAAATTAACGCGGACAGCGGCGTTGTGACTGTTTGCTCAACATTTTTGATAGAAAAAAGTCATATTCTTGACTCCCCTTCATTTTCAACTAATAACGTCGAATTGAAAGATATGTTATTGAAGATCTTTGAGAGGGAGGTTCATACATGACTATAGCTCTGAGTAATGCTGTCGCTAGTTATGCGTTATTTCTCACAAAAAAAAAGGTTTTTGCCCATGAAAAATGAAGTTTCGATTCAGTTTGATTCGGTCATCTGTGCAAGTTTGGCACCCGCCATATTTGATCCGCTTAATCCACTTGATCCACAATTCAGTGAACTGACCAATAGCGAAGCGGATCAAGTGGATCAAGTGGATTAAGCGGATCAAGTATGGCGCGTGCCTTTGACCACTGACATTTGGACGATGTTCATTTGAACGAAAAAAAAAACACAGAGAAAGACTTAGACAGAACTTGGAAAATTTTTTGCTCAACTGCGTCAGTTCTGGATAGGAGCTGGGAAACTAATCCAAACGCACAATTATGGTAAATAGAGCTTGTTGGCTGTCTGCTATTTCGACATATGACGCTATATACGAACTAATGAAAATCGAGAAAAATATCATGACAGAAAAGGCGTACTGTTGGATCCCAAGAATGAAAGAACATTTTTTCATATGCCAATTGATTGTTTAGATCAAATTGTCTTATCTAAATATTCCGCTCCATCAAGATCTTAAATTATTTTTCCGCAAAGTGTCAGTTTACTGTATTCGAAAGGAAAAGGATGTCCCTGTAAAAAGCCTGTTTGTAGTGTGCTTAGATCGAAACACGGCTCCTTTTCGGCCAATATCACATACCTATTCAGAGCAAAGCTGCAACATAAAATGTATCTGGCGGAAACAGTTCTATCTAATAGACATCTCGGACTGTCCTACTAAGTAAAGGCGAACAAGATGATCAGCTTGAGACGCAAATATGGGTTTTATACGATGCCATGTTGAAGAAGAGGCATCATATTTGAAAGATACAAATATTTCTCGCAATGGGCAGAAGTATGAGTTGTGTTTCCGCAGGATATCCCATGTCCGCTTAAGCTGCAGCATTCTGAGACTGGCAAACTACCCGTACATTTTCAGAAGCCTTCCAGTCCCTTCTTCGTTTTGAGGTATTTTACTCAAAGGTAGGGACCCGTCATACTTCGCCGAAAAAAGCCCAAAAGCGCCCAAAAAAGCCCGAAAAGCCCGAAAAAGCCCAAAAAAGCTCAAAAAGCCCGAAAAAGCCCAAAAAAGCTCAAAAAAGCCCAAAAAAGCCCGAAAGCGCCAGAAAGAGCCGGAATGTAGAAACGAACTTTTGGTAGAATTCTGACATTATCTTATCATGCGGACGATAGAAAATGACAAAAAGGCTCGATTGCGAAGTCAACACACATGCCTTAGCGCCAAAACGTGCGAGAAGTGTTCCGGCTCTTTTTGGCGCTTTTGGGCTTTTTCTGGCTTTTTTGGGCTTTTTCGGGCTCTTTTGGGCTTTTTTGGGCTTTTTCGGGCTCTTTTGGGCTTTTTCGGACTTCTTTGGGCTTTTTTCGGCGAAGTATGACGGGTCCCGCAGAGGAAGCCCACTGACGAAAAAATGGAATGTTCATCCTTGATAAAAGAAATTCCTCACTGGCATAGCTGCTGATGGCACGTAGTCGCGGTCGTTGACACGCTTACAAGGTGGTTCACTACATCTGCAAGATTTTTGACAACTAGGAATAGCGTAAACCATGTTGAAACAGGTCAAAATATGGTTAGCGAATGAGTAGCGTGCGAATCAAAATAGGTAATTATCGTCGAACTTGTGACTAATATGTGCACAAACACGCACAATATTTCGAGCGTGATGCCAATATCCTGGCATATTTCATTCGCTTTCTTCATTTGACAGGTTCCGACGCGTTACGGCGGGTTGGACGGGTATCGGCGCGGTCGAAACTATGCCTTTTCATACTTGATCCGCTTGATCCACTTCATCCACTTCGCCATTGATCATTTTACTGATTTGACCATCGCGTAGTGGATGAAGCGGATGAAGCGGATCAATCGAGCATGTCTATGTGACCCAAAGTTTATCACGTACTTTCCACATTAGTGAAGACGCCATGCCAGAGCTTTGCGTTACGTTCGCGCGTATGATAGGTGCCAGAGTAAGCGAATATTTTGTTCAGCTTCGTTTAGCTGCAAAAGGCGCACAGAATTAACGTTGATTCTGCGCGGGACCCGCAGCTGAAGCAGGCCTTGGCAGCAGTAGAGATTATGCAGCAGACATTAATTCTGCGCGCCTTTTGCAGCTGAACGAAGCTGAACGAAATATTCGCTTACTCTGGCACCTACCTATCGCTTGAGCATTCAGGTTGCGCTCGATCTTGATCGAAACCCACGTGGTTATTTGAGCCTTCCCATAAACATCGAACGCGAACACAGACGCATATTTTATACTTCGTGAAGAGAGTGTGTTTTCTGGCAATATGGAGCCCACATCTGATGCAATGATTTCATTTGCTTGGCACAATGTGACTTTTTGTGATTCCTGTGCAATTGCATAGATAACATAGGATTATACAATCCTATAATACACTGGATTTTATTAACTATGAAAGTCGCCTGCATAATCTACACGAAAACCGAAATCGCCTGCTGCGTGTGCGAGGGCTGCTAGTGACAGCTTTCGATGACACAGCGGCATACTGTAGCGGTTGCAGTGACTGTAGGCATGGTTAAAGGCAGCAGATGGAAAAAGCTATCTATAGGTTTATAGAAAACGCTGATGAATTTTCAGACAAAGGTTTTAAACGTACACAGGCTACTATACTCGCTCGGATCACCTCTGAGATATGATATAGGGCGACAATATGGTAGATTCGGCATCCGTTGAGTGTTCAAGCCTCAGCGAATACGAAACAAAGCTTTTAAAAATTGGTCTCAGTTACCTCGATAATCGAAATGGAAACTCAAACTATGCATCTAAAGGGAATCTACGAGTTGCTTTGTATCTACAGCGTCCTAACTTCAACGTATGCTCAGATTTTCTTGACTATTCCTCTTTGAAAAGATTGAAGATACCGTCTTTTTCTTTATTCTGTTTCTAAACGAAGACGAACTCAGCATTGACAAATCACGCGTCGTCTGATGTTCAGATGTCTTCTAAGCCCCGCCCATGAGGTGAATGCTTTCTTATCAGTTGTCTTCCGGTGCATATCTCTATGTTTATAAGGGGTGCTACGTCTCATATCACCGCAGCACTTCTTCGCTGGTCATCTGCTCAGTAACGAAATGAAATCACAAAACGTTGCCTCTTTGAATCTCTTGCCTTCTGCTTTACCTATCGGCTCTTATTCGGATACCTGTGTTACCATGGGTATGTTAAATTGACCTTTAGCACAAGTGCTGCAAGTTTCATGAATCTAAATTTTTCAGCTTCCTATCCAACACTGCCTATCCAGCAGCTATTGCCTTTCAATTTTCTTCTAAACCCTTCGATGTTATCGTCATTTCTACCTCCTCTCCCAGACCATCTTACATCTGCCTCCCAATCTCCCTTTGGGTGAGTCAAATCCTCATTTTTCTTGGCATTTTTTTCTTACCATTTCCAATATTAGTCGATCCTCTTCAGCTCCCAGCAAACACCCGCATCACAGCCAAACCTGGGCCATCTTTTCGATTCTGCTCCCGAATGCTACTCACACTCTAGCGAATGCTCTCAAACTACGGAATCTGGCATGTCATCGCCGAGAAACCCCTCTCCTGTGGTATGTTTTGCCTTGATTAACGCTTCTGTGACGCTAAAGAGTCCAAAATGGCACTGTTGCCCTTTGTTACTGCGCTGATAATATCACGAAATTCGTCAATGGGGCGCTATCAAAATCGTATGAGGAAAATAAAAAACCCTCTGAGCGCATGAAGGCGCCAGTAAGGACGAACAGTAAGAAGTAGAAAAAATAATCTCATCAAATATCAAGTCTAAGCTTAGAAAAGTGGATTGCGAAATCAGAAAACAATAAATTAAGTACAGTATAGTAAACTACACTCACCTTAATTCGTTTTAGCGGGTCTCCTCAGCTGAAAGCAGTACCACTACATCCAGAATTCGTCGTGGTCGACCACAACAAGACATTAGCGACGATGACGACCCAACCAGTCAAAAACGACGTCATCGTCGTCTCTACGCTAGACAATATCGGTAGGTTGAGAGTACTCCTCATAATTCCTCCAGGAAATTGATTCATCCACTTTGCAGAGCCCAAATGAGACACAAAGTCGACGAAGTAAAAGTATTATCCGCAAAACTAGAAGAGATGCAACGCGTTGTTGAGCGCTTGGAAGCCGCTCTTGAAAGTGAACGACGCGAGCATCAACAGAAAACACTACTGCTGAACTCTATGATCCAATCAAAACTGCTGCTTTGAGCAAATCAATTGTTTTGTACATAATATTCCATTGATTTTTTCTTAACAAAACAGGTACACAGTATCTCCCATAATCACTTGTATTTCACATAATCATACTAATAAACATTCATATACAGTCCGAAGACTAGTACATTGTGATAGAGTAGTTCTTGACTCAGTATTAGTACAACCGCTAGCCATTTAAGTTATACAACACGTCAACAAGGAACAGACGGCGGGAAAGAGAATGCAGAAGAGATGCTGCTTCCTGGAGTATAACTATGAGGTAAGCCCAGAGGGCAGCGAAAATACACAACATTGACTCATCATGTCCTCTAAAAAAGATTCCATGACAAATAGATACTGAGTTACATTTGATCAAGAGTAGCAATACAATCTTTGGATTAACTCAATGCCGAGTCCTCTTAGAATCTTCACGATCTCCTTCCCGATCACCTCCGCGTTTGTTCTTCACTTGTTGGAAAAGGTCACCCAAACCGAACACATCTTGTTCGCGCTCGAACTGAACAAATTTTGAATGAAATGCATAGAATGTAACAGCATCTGCCTAGTATCAAACAGAAGAACAATTTATAAAGCTACTTTTTCTCCCGAAACTATCTTCGCTCCAAGCATTTGTGGAGTTTCAGCACATAAACTACACCTTTAAGCTTATTTTATCTACATAGCAAATCAAAGGCGCTATAACCAGCAAAAAATGTCACGCATATGAAATTCTTCCTCCTTTACCCACATAATACAAATCATCAAAAACACTGGACTAGTATGCTTTGATGAATGGAAGTTCCAGGAAAGAAAGAAATCAAATTACTTATTGCGTAAAAAAAGAACAATTCAGAGTACGAGAGCTGCAGACATTGAATTATCTCTATGCATTCAGTCTCAGTGTAATTTGCAAATTCTCTTCAACGTGAATGCGAGCATTTTTATTTGAAAACAGTGTCCTTGAGATTATGTTTGATTTTAGCATTTTTGGTTTGAATTAGTGAAAAAAAACCAAGCAACCACCTCAACTCCTTACACAAACATCGTAAGGTTCTGTGCCCACAAAGTCACAGGCTAAATTCAAAACGATCCCGCAAAATTCGAAAAGTCAAAATCGCTTGTCAGCACTTATGCAAACTGCTGACGTAAACTATCAACAAAAATGGTAATCTCGTTCAGCACATCACAATTCCAAGATTGTTCCCCTAAATGCAGCGTTATCGGCGAAGCCACGAAGCGGTAACAAATAGAAGAGCCTGAACGTTCAGCATCAAAGAACAAAAGCGTAAACAAGGAAAACATCGCCGTTTTTTTTTCTTTGAAGTAAACAGTCCGGTTAGCAGCAGCTTAAAAAATGAAAAATGACGTTTTCCCTTTTTTTAAATTCAATGTCTGAAATTGGCAATGACGTGATCGAAATTTTGCGCATTGAAAAAACGCTTTGATGTGGTAGCAATCAAATACTGATTATTTTGTAATGATGTCAGATTGCGCTACAAAAACCATTTCCCGTATGTGTACACAACAAAAGCTTAAGCCCAGTATCAATGCATGACGTTTGCCCATAACGTCATGTAAAATTTCATATTTAACAAAAATTGCGCTATCACATCCGCGATGTCGTCCACACCCAAGACAGGACGTAAATGTCACTGTCATTATTGCGTTAAAACAGCAGTGACTTCGCAAGCCAACAAGATAACACTGATAACGTGACAGAATCGAAGGCATAAATTCGCAGACAATCAGAATGAAAAAAGCATTTCCGTCATAAGACTTCGTTATACCAATCATCAAAATCAAATAGGGAAAAGAACATACCTGAACGGGGCCAGCACCACGTGAACTTCCTTCAGCTCCAGAGAATCCTTTATCCGGAACAAAGCGTTGGGTATTTATGATTTTATCCAAATCATCACCGTAAACATCTTTGTCGATATTTTTGCCTGAAAGAATGGACAGTTTGGCAAATATAACCGTAAAAAAGCAGCAAAAACATTTGAAATTTACAACCGATAGATGATTTGCAGCTGAACAAGCAAATAAACAAGCATACTCCACAGTGTTTGTTGACCTCCTCAATTTACCACCGATACCCTCAGTATCGATGGGATTCTATGAATGTGCATCCACTGCAACTGTTTGCAGTCGCACTATAACTTCATGTTTCACTTTTCATCAAAAACTTGACAGCAAAAGCCAAAAGCGAACGATCGCGAACGCTCGTTACGAAATTCGTAACGATTGTGTGATAAAGCATGATTCGCTAAAAGAAGCGAGCGATAACGAAGCCACAAGGTGGTTAGAAACCGACCTCGTGATGACATCATATTACTAGACAAATTACGCTATTACAGATAAAGTTCTTCGGCGCAAGAGATATGCTGCGACCATATCCGGTCTTATAAATAACCTCGATATGAGACGCCGAAAGAGACACTGCAACAGCGGGCACTTTAAACATTGAGATATCAAAAATCAATGTTATGCAATCGTTAGGGTTCCTTCATACTACGCCGCGTACGCCACCTACGCCGCGCACGCCGCGTACGCCACGTACGCCGCTGCAGCGCAATGGAAATATGGAAATATGAAGAAGAGAAATCCTTTTCATCCAGTGATGTGTTTGTAAGGAGATGTTAACAGCGCAAATATACAACCAGATACAACATACAACCATACAACCATATACTACCAATATACAACCAGATGACTCAATATGCAGTCAGTTACGACACAAAATGTGAAACTCAATCATTGATATAGACAAAGGATAGACAGGATAAACAAAGCAAAAGAGAAGAAGAAATACATAATGTGAAAGAACACTATTGAGGTACACGAATGTGCAGCAAATATAAAGGTACATCAAAAAAAGTGGAGCTTTGCTGCCGTGAGCATATTTCCGTTGCGCTGCAGCGGCGTACGCGGCGTGCGCGGCGTACGCGGCGTAGTATGAAGGAACCCTTAGTAGTGGCTTTGCAAAACAGACTTTTGCTTGGTGTAAAAGCTCGCTATTTACTATTGCCAACGACTACAGACAGTCGTTAACAGACAAAATTGTCTGGAACAATTTATTTGCTCGCAAAGTCTCGGTGCAACGAACTAATGCAAAGAAAAGCAAGATCCAAACACCAAAGGTGCTGTTCCACATCCTTTTTGAGATGTTTCAGATATGAACCACCTGCAGTTTGAATAACGCAGAGAAAATGCAACTGTTTCCGTTTGATGCGATGAAAATCAAGAGGTTAAAAAGGGCCCAAACTGGATATGAGCTTGCCACTTGTCAGTGTCAACATTTAAAAAAAGCAAAATGAGAGCTAATAAGTTCTCGTCCAGTGATACTTTTGTTCAACTTCAGTACAAACAGCAAAACTTACTAGGTCTGTAGATATGTTGTTGCACATTGTCTCCACCACGCCAAGCTTTGTCGTACGGGTTGTACGTTTCATCGTCCATTGCTCCACTGTCCAAACCCTAAAAACAGACTGTAAATTATGCGAAGTCGACAAGCACATCCTCTAGCACCTTATTTTGATCGAACAGCCTCTGATCAAACTGAGTCTCACTGGATCGAACTTTCGCGTCAGGTAATCCCAAGACGATCTTCTCTGAGATATCGCGATCACGATCCCTGAAAAAGTGCAGGGTAAAACTACTGCCGAGAAATCACTAAAAATTTAGGTAGATAACAAACCGCATGAGTTTATCCACTTTATCGGGACGATTGCGAGCAATATTCCTTTCTTTACGAATGTCATCCAATCGATCTCGTCTGCAAAGCAAAAGTATGAAAAAATGGTTGAAAATTGGACGTGCACAATAAGAGATCGACCAAAGTCAGTTAGATATACAGCATGTAGTAACTGTTTTTTGAAGGATTCTCTAATTCTACACGTATCTAATCTAAGCGATGGTAGTCACTGCGAAAGTTTGACAAACCTGATCTCTTCTCTCGCTTTCACAGCTTCATCTTCGTCTTCACCCTTCTTTCTTATACCAGCACGCTCCTAAACAAAGAAAAGTGCTGACCCCATGAACCACTGACGAAAAAGCATCTAATGACGTAAGCACAATAGAAACAGCAAAAATGCAGACCTGTCGAGCCTTCGCCGCCATTTCGCGCATTCGAGCTTCTTGTTCAAGTTTCTTATGTTGCGCCACTCTTTTCTCCAGCTGTGCTCTGGCTTCCACGGACTCTCTAGCCTTCCTGTCAGCAATGTACAAGGCTTCAGATAATTTCGCGAAACCTTCATTAATGTGGGTCTAAAAATGTTGATGGTAAAAGAGACGACTGTATAAAATTTTTATCAAACCTGTTGCAATCCTCGACCATCAGCTGCCAATCTCTTGTCCAAAGACACCGTAAAACCTTGAAATCACACATTTGGTACACAGACTTACAATCCAATAAGAAAAATAATGCACTTTCACTCTATAAGCAAAGAGTACATATTTGAAAGAGGGTAGAAGCATATTTCTCAGCTTTTAGATGATTAGCAAGCAAAGATCAAAAAGCTAACCTTTCGGATTTTTCCAGTTGGAAATGCAAGGTGGTATTTTCCAATCGTTTTGATCTTTTGTAGTAACCTGAAAGTTATCTTGAAGTACGTACTAGGAATAAGTTTAGACAAGAGATGTTATGAGGCCTACACACAAGTCATGTATAAAGCCAAGCAAAATTTTCCGTCTTCTAATTCTTTTAATGGCCTTTAGCAGCCTAAATATGTAGTAAGGTGGTTACGTCGAAAGACCCTAGTCGTTTCGGCCGTAAGTAGGCTAAATACTCCACGTAGATACTGATGAGCTTCTTAAACCGCGAAGTAGATTGTAATGGATTCGAATTGGCTAAGACAACAAAGAAGAGGGAGTGGCGGACGAAAACAAAAGGGGAGGAACAGGACCATACAGCGACGCCAGAAAAGTATACCAGCACTTTTTTTCGAAACTAATGAACATGGGAAAGACTATAATCAATTCATCAATTGACACACAATCTGACAGATATAAAGCTCTCGGCAGAAGATAAACAAGCGGCGAAGAAAAAACGACCATACCTTCCGTGGAGGACTGTGCATAACTGGTGCTGGGGGTGAAGGGGGCGCTCTTGGGATTTTCTGATTGATTCTAGAAAAGCAGATATAATGTGGAACCCACTCTACAAGCATCATGATTCTGCGTAAGATCGTACAGCGCAGACGAAAATGAAAACTCACCTAAACTTCGGTGGTTCCATAGGATCTTTCTGCTCCTCAACCATCCGGATGATGCGCTGCTGTGAACCTAAAAAAGTCTCATATTCGATGGAAAATCTATCGCAAAACATTCAGCTGCACCTCCTGCATGTAAGGAACTTTGTTGGCTAGGTGTATATCTGATATACTGCGGAGGCGCTTGCTTCTCAGCGTGTCGAACAGGTAAAGCTGATGCAACCTGAGACAAACTACCCTTAAGGTTTTTGAGGAAACCAAGGCACATGATATTGTGTTCTATATCGCGACATTTTACCGACCTTGCTCTCTGTAATTTTCTCCAGGGCCAATCTCGTCTTCTCCGTCTGCTCAGCAATTGTTTCCTCATCAGGTCGTTGGATATCCTCGTCATCCTCGTCCCACACTTTCGCGCGCATATCGCTCAGCTTTGTATAAACAATCTAAATAAAAAACAAATTTGATCAACTCGAAGGGATGGTTACCAAAGCTAACAAGATAAACCGATCTGATGAAATTAAAGTAAGGTTTTAATCACTCGCCTTATCTTTTGTGTGGCCTATCCTAGCAATGGCATCATGCCTCAATTTACCATCTGCATCATACTGCAAAGCAATTTGACCATCATTTTTTCCTTTTCGTTCTCCCATGCCCATTCCAAGCGGAAACTGGGCAAAGTGAATCTCCGGAAATGCTCCACCATCGCCGTAGTCCTAAGAGCGAAACACTATGAGGGAAATATTACTGTGCCAAGACATGATACAACGAAAAGATAATAAAATTGAAGTAAAGGCAAGGACAGTGGGGCAAACCTCAGGTGTACGTGGTTTGAACCCTTGACGTTTCCCATATGGTGGCGGCTCCTTTACTACAATAGCTGTTGTTGTGGGTAATGCATCCTCTCTTCCGCGGAACCATGGATCTCTTCGGACCTAAAATACCGAAATGTGCTAAAGAGGCTATAATTGCAAATAAACTCGATCAATTACCTGTGAGTACTCGTCTGTGATAGAAGACGGTGCAGGTAAGAGACTAAATGACATAAAAGATGGATGAAAAGCAATGTAGAAAGGCAAGATAAACAAGTATGCAATAAGCAGGAAAGACTTACTCAGATAACTTCAGCGACATTTGGGATATCGAAAGATATGCGCCGCTGTAACTTGATAATAGATATTGCAAAATCAAGTAAATACCGAAGAGATATATAATATGATCACAACAATGTTTTTCAACTGGTAATTTGGAGCATAATTCATTTATACTTGAATATAAACACAATACGGAGATCTATACAGTTGAGGCAAGTTATAAGTGAAAAAAAATGCACACGTTAGTTCGAGTCAGGTTACGGTGAAGAGCAAAAAAGGTACAATCGTTAACTGTGGTTCTCACGACAACTATGAAGTTATTTAAGTGAGTGTAAAGCCTTGGCGGTCATTGCTTCGATCTCTGCAGACGCTTCGTCGTAGTTTTCGATGAACTGCTTCATCTTCGACCGCTGTAAATGACCAAATTACTTGAAACAAGTAAGAGTTGCATACAAAGCTTCACTAACCTGTTCAGCAGCAATGCGACCAGATAACAAAAACATAAAGTCGTTCACTGTCCAGTCTTTCTCTTCTCTTTTGTTCAACTCAACAAAGTTGCACGTTTTGGAGTGAGATCGGTGCTCTAACCTAGGAGATATCTATCAAAAGTTTGAAAAATCAATTTTTCTCACCATGGATCATCATTCTCTTCGAAAATCATCTCTTTGTAACAGAATGCACAAGTTGCTGCCGCAGGTTCGTACCTGGAGCCGGTGAAGTAAAAGCCAGCTTTGGCTAACTGCAACATTCAATAGGAGTTATTTTGATCATTACAAGGCGGTGAAGAGTGCCTACCGCATCAGATGAGCATTGGTAGTTATCCTTGTCGAAACACCAATTTTTGAAAGTAGCTTTCCTGTGTCCATAAAAGAGGAGGTCAGATTTTGACGAGGTCAAATTCTCAAAGAGAATATTCCGTGAGTGCGCGTCATGCGCAGCTTCCTCTTTCATACTGAATGAAAACATCACTGGTTTGGGTTTGATCTTTAGAGCTACATATGCTACAATCGAAAAAAAAACTGAAGTGAAAAAGTACTACAGAAAAAAACGTTTAAACAATCACATGGGTGATTGGTTGAACGTGATTGTTTGCCATGCGACAATTCAAAAAAGCACCTATTCTTTTTGTTGATGACTTTTCCTACTGATCCGAAATCGCTACTCGGACTTCGAGTCGCCTTAGAGCTCACATGATTCATAAACATGTATTATCTTTCTGCCACTTCAGCCATAATGCCGCAAGAAACTAGAGCTAAACTCATGCACTACGAACACAGAAGATCAAAGCAAGAACCTAGCCCCTTCCATACTAAAGCAGCAAACATGACTTGTTTTCTTGAACTTACGAGCATCTTTCGTTCTGACATTGTGATCAACTTCATATATATAGAAAGAGATAAACGAAACATCTAAGTTTTTTCTTAATGAGTGCGCTGGTACTCCAATATAGGATCGCGATATGTTTAAACCAAGATACTTGCACTTGTTTGCTGCATAGAACTTGTTTCAAGTAATTGAAAGTAACGCAAATTCTACGTGAAATTGGAATGTTGATTTGAACACTGTAAGAGCGGAATACTTTCTTCTGTGAACAATATACTTCAGAGGATTTTACCCACCATGGCTGTTTGCCGATGCTGACGCCGAAGACCAAAAAAAATCAGTGGAAAGTTTACTGAAGAACTAAAAAAGCGAAAAGCGATTGAATTCCTCATGATCAATAACTGACATTGCAGCGAATGAAACTGAAATTACGAGGAAGCACGCATCATCTACAGAAAGCTTAAAACTGGCTATTGTACAAGTTTAGCGTGACAGAAGCATAGTACGAAGATCTCCGGCTTGCCATAACGAAAAATGAAAAAAAAAACGACGGCGTCGATCATAGGAACGGCAATTAGCTGTGTGGACGTGAAATTACCGCACAACGGCCGCGCTACCGTAGGAAAATTTGTCTCTGATGTTCGCATATGAAAGGAGCGCCAAGTTGAGGACTTCGTCGAGTTTGTCTGTGTTTTTGCTTGTTACTCAAGTACCTCTGAACCTCTGAACTGAGAAAGAGAGCGGAGAGGAGAGTTCTAGGGTTGGTGAGAATGCTCTCTTATGAACTAACCACCACTTGTTTCTTCTCATTGCGACAGGTACCCTAATTTCACGCGTACAAGGCGCGGGGTATTTTTTTCCAAAATTGACTAGCCCAAATACGCCAAAGAACTTTGCAATCAAAGGACCCTATGCCGTGTTGTATATTGCTTAAGAGAATCGTACGGCATGAGGATCGCTTTCCGAAATATTATATTTTGGAGCGGCTGAGGGATTGGATTGAAAAATTGAAAAAGGTGCGCCTTGTACGCGTGAAATTATGGTACTCAAATCTACACATGGCTGCGCAAAGCGCGCCTCACGCCCCAATGCGAATTTCTCCGGCGCGCGGGTTTTCGCGGTGGAGCACGCTAAACAGTGTGGACTTGACGTTTTTGGCCGACGTAATGTGAATGCTGTCAAAAGTTTTTTGAGGTTGTCTTCTACAAATCAATGTCATAGATGTAAGGTGAAGTAAAACTCCGTATGAGCTTCCTCAATATATCGGAAGCTTACTATTGCAAAGGAAGACATTCAAAGTTTACTTCTTCTTATAAGGGGGGCAGGCGTTATGGAGCAAAGCAGCGCCGCATTCCCCTGCGGTATAACCTGAGGGCCAGTTGCGTTGCGTCGCCTTTAATTGCAGCCGCAGGAGTATGCCGCTCTTCACGAACTGAAGCGAACTGAGCCATTCCCTATTGCTACGCCTTGAGAAGATGTCCAAACTGCATGAATGCAATAAAGGTATTTGAAATCGAAAAATAGATGGATTTTACGGATGCAAAGGCTGAATCTCGGATGAGAATAAAAGATTGATTTTAAGTGTAACATGAGAATTAGTAAAGAAAAGGGACAGAAAACTTTCATTACTGACATTCCAAGCTTTTACTTCCTCTTGGGTGGTACTTTCAAACACTTCTTCCTCAGAATCTATTTTTTCATTCTCAAAATTCGTTTGACTTCCGCATTTTGGTCTCTTTACAGAAGAAGAATTTCGAGAATGACTCAATCTGCTGGGTAACGCTAGCTCCTCTGCGGGTGCAATTAAGGGCGACACAACGCAAAGGACCCTCAGGATATACCGCAGGCGAATGCGGCGTAGCTTTGCTCCATAACGCCACGCCGCCTTCTTATAAAGTGAAAGAACGATTAATCGCCTTATGTATTCATCAAGGTTTGTCTCTTTGAAGTTACTACCACTGAAATCTATTCTTTGAAATGTGCAAGCAAGTGTTTCGAAGTCTGAGTCTGGTTTCTCTCGTTAAGTTTGCCAAACTCAGAACTTTTACTAATGCTCAATTCGGTGCCAATGTTGGCTTCTGTAAAAAACTGAAGAGGATCTAATTTTGTTCAACTTTACGAAGCTTTTATATTCGACTAATGTTTGGAACTTGCATTGCAACATTTCCAAAATGTTCCATTGATCTGGGGATAAAGTCCGAATTAAGAGATTCTGGATGGATGCCTGTTCTTCACGAGTGTATCGCGCTATCCAACGGCTATTCGCACTTTCCAAGGACTAGGAACGTATGGGATGTGGTTGGTCATGAAAAGCAAAAATCTACACGATGTAAAGCATAGCAATGCATGCTTACAACGTTGATTTGATACGAACAGCTACGCATATCGATGGATCAGGGAGCAAAGGAGCAGCTCCTGACTTAATTAATTTGATCAGTTATTTGTAAGCACCTTACGATAGCAACATTCGGTAGTGGAAATGCATACATACTTTGCAATGTTTCGACAATTGCCGTGAGAAGCTCTACGCATCCTGTTAGAAGGTAGTAGCATAACAAATTCGACCTTACCAAGGCACGCATCAATGTTGAACAGCGATTTCTTAAAACGGATGTGCAAGACTTCTTCTATGATTTTCTTCTACAAATAGAGTTGGTTTAATGTTTTGATAGGAGAACAAATTGACTCACAAAACAATTACCATCAAGCAGTTTTTATTGAAGGCACTAAGATGATTTTTGATAAAGAAAGTTTTGCTCCTTTCTTTTGTTCTAAGTCAAGGTTTACGCAAAACATTCGAGGACTTTGATTTGACAAACAAATATTGCGCGCTTGTTACATTGATCATTCTACTTGAGATTCCCGTTCATCTCAATACAGAGAAAAGTACCTTCATTAGGGATCGACCACACCTTTTCGCCGCGCGATTTCTATCTGCTGCGATTGTTCATAATCTTCCGTACGTGCATACTCGGTAAGCAAGATTCAGCATGTACGCATAAGGGAACGCCCATAGGTTCGCAGTGTTCGTGGTGTTCGCGGTGTTCGCGGTGTGTCGGTGTTGTCGGTGTTGTCGGGATCGGCCATACTATTCCAGGTGATACTATTCGATACTATACTATTATGATACTATGATACTATTACTATACTATGCCATACTATTCCACTGCGAACACCGCGAACACTGCGAACACCACAACACCGCGAACACCACGAACACCGCGAACACTGCAAACCTATGGCCGTTCCCTAAGCTTACAAAAGCTACGCGCACGAAGTTGAATTCCACACATGGTAGGTTTGCGGACATCTGGCAGGCCAGATCGCATATCGCCGCCGTTTTAGAGAAATCGCGCGAGGTATATCCGAAGCCTTAGGGCTAAGGCATACCTCGCGCGATTCCTGTCGCTGCGCGATTTGGCACAACAGCGACTCGCTGAAATTCGTCGTTAATGTGTTTCCTTTGGTCAGAACTTAACCAATTTGGAACAACTTACACAAGCTATCCGCCCATGCGTTCGAGAAGCGCGCACGATAAATTTGTAAAAATCTGGCAAAACGCCAAGTCGCGTGAAAGTGGCGATTTCGCCAAATCGCTTAAGGTATGCCTTAGGCCTTAGGCACCGCTTACAGACTGCTAATCCTAACAGTATGCATTAGCATGTGCGAAAAATCAAAGGTCCGCAAAGGCGGCGTTTAAGCGAGATCATTCTCTATCTTCAGGGTCGTAGCCACGACAAGCCAAAAGATTCGTTACTTTCTCGAATACTTGCAGATAGGAAAGGCAGAATTAGAGATTATTGAAAGCGCTGTATACATTATCTTCAAATTGGCCCAATCACAATATCCTATTACAAGGATATTGTGACTGGACCAAGTCAAAAGATCTGAAACATAGGGTGCGGGGTTTCTCACACCCGAGCCATATTCTCGCACCTAAGTAATGTGCCTGCTAGTGTCGCCGAAATGGCGACCTCTTCGGCAGAAGCCCGATACGGTTGTTTGCCCAGCTCCCCTGCTATAAAAGCAGGGGGCTGGGTTGATAGGTGTGTCTGTTCTGTAAGCATTGTTTTGCACCCGGTCCGGGTAAAAAGGGCATCTGTTACATATTCGAATAAATTCGTCCTTCTTAAAACTCTGAACCACCGTTTGGCACATTTTGCTGCATCGATCAAAAAAATCCTTTTTTTGGTCGAGATTCTTTATTAAACCGAAAAGTCTAGGCCATCATACCTAGCACAAGTCCAGCATTTCCCTGGCAATAACTAGGACATCATACCTAGCAACAAAAAACCCAGGCTATCATACCTGGCAACACATACGCTACAATAAAGTAGGCTATAAGTTGAAGCGAAAGCAAAGCACTTAAGCCGAAAAAAAAAAGCAAAAAGTGATAATGGCATTCACATTACACGAAAAACCAATAGCATACAGTGCTAAATCATTGGTACCTTGGTGAAAAAATACAGAGGTTACTCCGAAGGGGTCTCGACCAGCGGAAATGAGACCAAACAGCTCGATGAGCTTTACAATGCTGCAGACCTGATCAGCGGAGGAATTGAGCTCATCAGGGAGAGCAGAGACGCACTCCAGATCTTGGTGGACAAGCTGGATAAGCAGTTCGACGACCTAAACGTAAAAGGTAATCGTAAAGAACTGTTAGCTGAAATCGAAGAAATCGACAAAGACACGCAATACAGCGGAAAAATCGCGGCTGCTAACGACACAATGTACGTGCTAAAAGCGCGATTGAACGAAACTCGCACAAAAGCGAAGAGACTTGCAAAGAAGCTGGATATGCCAGTACATACCGAAACGGTATCGACATCTAGCGATGCAGCAATGAAAGGTGAAATCAACGGAGAAGATGGAGAGTTCTCCGCCAATGCAGGGGCATGGTTATCCGAAGACCTATTGATAAATAGCGTCGTAGAGTCAGAAGACATGATGTATCGAACTCTGAAACCAAAACAGCTCAAAATACCGAGATTTTATGGCGACGAAGAGGAATTCGCCGAATATTGGGCCATTTTTAGCACCTTGGTACATGAAAACAAAGTCCTAACAAGGGAATGGTCAGAAGTCGAAGTGGCTAAACCAAACAAGCTGTATACCATTCGATGCAGTATAAAACGCTGACTTCGAATCTGCCTTTCTTATCTGCTTCCCGCTTCTGTGGATGAAGCTACAAGCGGTTTTATTATGAAAAAATCCCACATGAATACAGCGAAATTGAGCACACTGTTGCATTTTTGGTTCAGTTTCTTTCTTCAAAAATTTGAAGTAGGCTAGCTGCATGTTTTGGCCCAGCATCAAGGCGATCGTGGCCCTGCACGGCTAAATTTTCAATTTCACGTGTAATTTCTTAGCAAAATAATGGTCTTTGACGGTCTGTAGCTTCGTTAACAGAAGCGGGAAGCAGATAAGAAAGACAGATTCGAAGTCAGCGTTTTATACTGCATCGAATGGTATACAGCTTGTTTGGTTTGGCCACTTCGACTTCTGACCATTCCCTTGTAAGCACAACAGAAAAAATGATGTTTCTCAAGGACAGCCTCAAGGGAAGGGCGGTAATTGCCGTGAAAGGAATAGAAATGGTACCAAAAAATTACCAGTGGATTATAGAAACACTGAAGAAAAAATACAGCAACAGGCCTGTAAATAGAGCCAGAGTCGTGCAAAAATTGGTCGACATGCGACCAGCAACAAATACTGCTGAAAGCTGCTCAGACACACATGACAAAATACGCATGTTGATAAACCAACTGGTCTCTGCCGGGCAAGACATCCGCAAGATGCAAGATGCTCTCTGGACCGAGAAAATTCTGGAAAAATTTCCATACATCATAGTGAAGAACGTGCTCACGTCAACGCAAGAACTGTAAGAAATCACAGTGGACGACATACTGGAAGCTCTAAACAAGCAAATTGAAGCAAAAAAATACGTGGATTCGCGTCTCAAACATTTCTCGAAAGGAGAACAACCACGAAAACGCCCAGATTATGCACACAGCGAGCGTAATTATGCAAACAACAAACGTACTATACCAAAAATACGAACACGTGTGTATTTTGCAAAATGTCCAATCATACGACATCGAATTGCAGAATGGTAACCGACACTTTTGCAAGACGAAACGTGGTCAAAAAAGAACATCTCTGTTGGAAATGCTTCTCCAACGAACACAGTGCTGGTGCCTGCATGAAACCAAACTGTTCTCGATGTGGGTGACTACATGATGTCTCCTTGTGCCCATCCTCAAACGCTCCAAACTTGAACGAGCGAAATTCGAACCAAGCAACAAACAATCGCAACTACAACCATCAAAGGTCAGCGTATCGCACTGATAGACATGATACAAGAGCAAATAGACCACAATGGCACAATAATCATGGACGCGACTTCCAAGATAGGACAAACCAAAGACAAGTCGTAAACAACACATGTGTTGATACAGGAAACGACAATGCACAAGCGGTCAGAAACAAAGAACAATTTGTGCTTATGACCGCGGAAGGCAATCTGTGGAATCACAGAACAAATCAGTATGAAAAAGTCCTGTTTTTCTTCGACACAGGAGCCCAAAAAACACTCATAAAAGAGAGCACTGCTGAAGAATTTTGTCTACCAACCCAGAACACGGAACACTGCACGATGTCCAGCATTGGTGGACATACCGAACACTTCAAAAGCAACATCGTAACGCTGAAATTCTGCACAGCCTATGGCAAAGAGATGATACTCACCGGGCAAACAAAACCGGTCATAACCAACGGTTTCTCCTCGGTTCGCTGTCCGATGAAGACAAAAATTTCCTGCAAACAAAAGAAAGTCGTCTGCAATCCGCGAGTGCGCGGTGAACTTCAAAACCCGCAGATCCTCATCGGTATACACTATTTTCTCGCGATGGTACCTCCAAGCGCAGAAAATAAACAAATGCCGTCAGGATTGAACATTACAAAAACAGTGTTTGGACCGAGTATACACGGCAAAGGGACGATTCCACCATCGCTAACTATCACCAACACTGCAATCCACGCGCTAACTCTCATAAATGACGTCAAAGAGTCAGAAATGCTCCAGAAAATGTTTGAACTCGAAGGACTAGGAATTTCCTCAGAAGAGTTGCAAAAAGATGAGAGCACATTCACATATTTTCAGACCTACTCAAAGAAACTTTCGTTTCAAGACGGTGTTGTGATCGCTCCGCTACTACTCAAAGACAGCATAGTTGATCTAAGCCATAACTATGCAGTGGCTTACAGAAGACTACTAGCACTTTGGCAGCTCCTGTAAAACAACGAAAACCAACGAAATTGGTACAAAATTGTTCTTGACAAATACATACAGGACAACGTAATAGAGGTAGCCAAAGATGATATTTCTAATAAAGCCGGCACCTACTATATGCCACACTCAAGCGTTTGGCGGCCAAACAAAGCAGTACCTTTACGTATAGTGTTTGACGCGTCCTCCAAGCGAAAAACACAATTTTCGCTAAACGACGTGGTGTACACCGGCGAGTCCTTCGTGAACAAAATACATGATGTACTAACGTCGAGTCGATCGGACCACATCATTCTGCTTTGCGACACATTGAAGCCGCTTTTACGCAAATTCGACTAAGTAGCGCTCGCAATGACTTATGCAGATTCTTATGGGTGCGAGACACTGAAAAAGCGCCAACAAAAGACAATATCGTCAAATATCGATTTACGAGGCTCCCGTTCGGGCTGACAGCTTCTCCAAGCATCCTTAACATGGTGATTCTCGCCTTTTTGGACTGGAAAAACACACCCTTAGCAAAAGAGATTGCATCGCATCTGTATGTGGACAACATCCTCCTAAAAGCTGATTCCGTTCAAGAAGCGCTGACAAAATACCATGAATCAAAAGCGCTATTTGCTGAAATCGGAATATTTACGCGAGTACATTTCCAACTCGCAGCTTGTCAACCAAGCCATCCCTGAAAAAGACGTTTACACGGTAAGGTTATCAAGTTTCTGGGAGTAAACTACGACACTGAGGAGGACACTTACGCTTTGAGAGTAGACATCCCGTCCAAAGAAAAGCTCACAAAACGCGATATCGTCAGTCAGATAAACTCAGTGTACGACCCAATTGGCATGGCGGGACCACTTCTGGTGAAACTGAAATCTCTAATGCGAGAAATCTATAGCACAGGATCAGACTGGAAAGAAACCATTCCTAGCCATTTCGCTTCGAAATGGAATGAGGAGTGTCAGCAGATAAACAGTTGTGATTTAACTTTGCGATGTGCTCTACCGACTCCCGATAAAGGCCATACACCCTTTGGATGTTTTCGGACGCAAGCAAAATAGTTATCGCGTCATGCGCCTATCTGCAGTGCATTGAAACTAGAAAAGTCTCCCAGCTAATAAGCAGCAAAACTCGTCTTACGCCCAAGAAAATGGTGCAAACTATACTGCGATTGGAGCTACTCAGCATACTCATAGCCACCAGACTAGCAAAGAGCATTGTGAATACAATGGGTAACGCAATCGAGGACATAAAAATAGCCAACGACAGCGAAATCGCTCTCGCTTGGATTCCAAGCACGCGAAAATTGCCGCCGTTTGTCGCGAGTCAAAGAGATCGCATTTTGAGACTCAAGCATCATTTTGAATGCAAAAACAAACAGATACACTTCTACCACGTCTCCACAAACGACAATCCAGCAGACGCTGGAACTCGCGGTCTATCGGCATCAGCAATGAAAAATCATGCCTGGATAAAAGGCCCACAATGGTTAGCGCAAAGCCCTGAAAACTGGTCGTTACGCGTAATTACCGAGGCAAGTGCCGAATACGAACAGAGCGATGACGGCGAGTTCAAGCGCATCCTACCGTACCGCGACCCACCACTAGCGAGGAAGTGTAGTCATTCATTGATTTGCAACGCTTCTCAAACTACAACAAGCTACTGAGGACAGTAGCCATAATCGGAAAACTTCAAAAAAATGGCTACAGAAGTGCAGCCTCAATTTCGGAAAGTTCCCTACTCTCAAAAACTTCAGCACGGAACAGCGCATAACAGCGGAAGATATAATGCTAAGCGAAAGACTGATAATCACCTCAGTACATCATTCTATATCTATAGAAGAACTGCAAAAGCGTTTTCGCAATGTAAAAATTATTAGAGATGAATATGGAATAATACGCCACGAATCGCGCTTACAAAACGCGATACTACCTCACGATACGAAATCGCCCATATTCTTTCCCAATCCGTCCGAACTGACTCGATTGGTTTTGGTAAACATACACCAGAAGAACGCGCATTGTGGAAATGACCACATTCTAGCACTAGCACGACAGCGATACTGGATACCTCAACCCATGAAAGCAATAAAAAAGTATCTCAGGAGCTGTAGCACGTGCAAAAGATGTCATGGGCTGCCATTCGGCGTTCCAGAGATGCCATCGCTACCAAAAGACAGAGTACGAAATTCCAAGCCATTCCAAAAGATTGGTTGCGATTTTTTGGGTCCTATCGACTCGCAAAACAACGAGGAGATGTATGTATGCCTGTACACATGCTTAACTACAAGGGCCATACACTTAGAAGCTGTGGAAAACCTATCAACAGGCGCATTTCTAAACAGCTTCGTAAGGTTTGTCTCACGACGAGGGGTACCACAACTCGTAAGGACAGACAGTGGCACTAATTTCAAGCTCGGTCAAAAAATCTTAGGAAAATTGTTTGAAAAAGACGACCGAAGCGAGAATTCTGTAATGAATTACAGTGCTACTGAAGGTATAACGTGGATATCCAATCCACCAGGTGCACCCTGGATGGGTGGTGTTTGGGAAAGGTTAGTCGGCTCAGTCAAGCGCAGTTTTACTAAAGCTGTTGGCCGCCGTAAAGTTTCCTTCATTGAGTTAAGCACCGTTATGGCCAGAATCAAAGCCATCATAAACACTCGCCCACTCACAAAGTTGAGCTCGAGTGATATAACAGATATACCTCTGCGACCCATAGACTTCCTACAGGGCAACGTGAAATATGCACTCCCAAACACTAACGTGCGAGCTAACGATCCTGATTATGATCCAGAACTCATTCAGACCGCCTTACAAGCGCATGAAGCAATGGAGTCCTCAGAAGCTACTGCAGCTAAATTCTGGGACCTCGGAATGTAGAATACTTGACACTTCTACGCGAAAGTCAAAAGAGGCATTTAAATCAACCGCGGCACACGCCTCACCACCCACGAATCGGCGAAATTGTGCTTATTGAACAAGAGTTGATACCCCGCGGTAACTGGGCCTATGGAAAGATAACAGAACTAGTCAAAAGTGCAGACGGTCTGATAAGGTCAGCCAAAATCCTTACACCAAATCATAAAGTTCTACAAAGGCCTTTGAATAAGCTGTTCCTTCTAGAAATCAGATGTACTGAAGAGGCAAACGTGGAAGAAACAGCAACTGTGCCAGAAAATATTCAGTAGCATGAACATCCAGCTCAGCAAACACGCGTACAACACGACACACATGCTGACACTGGCGAAAATCTCTTGCAAGCGCAGTCTAGTAGACGAAATCCGCCTTGAGAATCTAAGACTCGCGCCTACGAAGTCATTCAAAACTTTGAACGAAGTTTGCAAAGCACATCATCCCCTCATGTCTCTCGGGTCATGACAATGATTAGCCTCATCCTCCTATACAGCTGTAATAGTGTGGAAGCTTTGACGAATGGACCTATAGAGTGCGCAGAAGGAATACTTAACATTAGAGAGCTTGCAGAACCATTCAGGTTATGTGTGGGTAATACATGCAAAGTATTCGAAAATAACACTCAAGCCATGTCAATAAGCATCCCTCCCGCGAAAACCAAGGGGCAATTTCATGTGAACCTCACAAC